CTCGCCCAAGCACTCTGGCAACAAGTTCCTCAACCGACGTGCAAGCATGCCACGCATCGCGACTTCGTGTTTCTTAGCCCTGAGGCTGCTGCCCTGTGCAAATCTGTTGAGGTCAGAGAGGTGTTCGCTGAACACTCCACCATAATCGCCGGGCTGCGTCTGAACATGGTTGCTTCCCCGCAGTCCTGGCCGCTGCCTGCCGAAATTCCTTGGCAGCACGTTGACATCCCTTCGTGGCAAGCCAGTTGTGTCACTGTTCCCATTGATGAATCGTGCCCGACCCGTTGGCTCAAAGACTTCGCTCTGGGGTTTGAGCGTAGCCTTAATGGCTTCCTAACCACTGTGCCGGGCGGGCACCTGCCTCACCGCTGCCATGGCCGCGCCCAGAGACTGTCTCCCGATAGTCCTCCCCAGGTTGCCCCTCCAAAGACGGCTCGCCCTGGCGAGGAAGCCTCCCATCATGATCTGTTGTCATTGGAGGTCAAGCGCTGGTACCAGCAGTTGCGCAGACTGCAGTCCCTGGATCACGCTATGAAGGCAGGCAATCAGTCACCGAGTGCGATTGAACACCGCGGGGGTTTGTGGCACTCAATCCTTTCGGCAAAAGGCTTTCGTCCCGACTTTGCCTCTTGGTGGCTGAATCGGCCTGTGCACCTTGTCGGCGCCCCGACCGCTTTCCCTTTACACCTGCCAACCGCCTCTACTTGTCACTTGCTGTTTCTGGATTTTCGCGACAATTACCGCAAGTTCGAAGCCTGGCACATCAATCAGAGAAAAGCCATTTTGGCTGAACAATACGCGCATCAACGCAACCTGATCTTCCAAGACCTTCGCGATCCTGCCCCTGAGCAGGTGGATTCCCTTGAACTTCGCAGGTCCTATGGCATCCTCGCTGTTGATGAATCCACTGGCCGCGTACACCTTGATGCAACCATAGAAGATCGTGGCTGCAGTTTCTGGCAACTCGATGGTTGCGCGGTCCAGGTTGCTGATGTTTCTGGCGATGTTTGCCGCCTAGTTGACTGCCCGAACGTTCCTACTGATGCCGAGCTTGAGCAACATACCATGCTCTCCTCGGCTCGTCATGTACAGCAAGAATTTGAACGACTCTGGGCCTCCTATTGGAGTCGACACGACTCTCTTTCTGACGCTGACTGGTCTCCCATCGTGGCCTTCGCCCAGGCCTTCTTACCTTCTGCAAAGCTCGAGCTGGCTCCACTCACCCTGCCTGAGTGGCGACGTGCCATCAAAAGATTTAAACCCCGGGCCGCCCGGGGTCCCGACGGGCTTGCCAAGTTGGATCTACAGCACATGTCCGACGCGCATGCTGCGCAGCTTGTTAGTTTCCTGAACGGCATCGAAACTGGCGATCATTCCTGGCCTGCCCAATGGTTGGTAGGCCTAGTCTGCTGCCTCAAGAAGCCTGGCGGCCGCCAAGACGCGCAGGGCTTCCGCCCCATCTGCCTGCTCAGCTGCGTCTACCGGGCATGGAGCGGGCTCAGAGCCAGGCAAATCTTGAGATGGCTGACGAATCACGCACCCCCCGAGGCCCTCGGGTTCATGCCCCGAAAAGAGGCTTCACAGTTCTGGTGGTTGCTCGCGGCGCAAATTGAAACAGCCTGCCAGTCCGATGAGCCTTTGCTTGGCTTCTCCACAGACATTGTTAAAGCCTTTAATGTGCTTCCCAGACAGCCAGTGTTTGCCATTGCCGCCCATCTTGGTGTTACGAGTCGAGTACTCCAGCCTTGGCAAGCCTTCCTTGACGGACTCGAGAGACGTTTCCTAATACGTCAGTCGGTCGGTTCCTCGCTCATGGCAACGTGTGGTTTTCCGGAAGGATGCGCGCTCAGCACGGTCAGCATGAGCCTGTTTTGCCTCTGCTTTCACAAGTATGTCGAAACCTTCAGCACTGGCGTTTCCCCCCACTCCTATGTGGACAACCTATCCTGCTTGGGGTCGTCCGTTGGCAAACTCTCTGCTGGGGTAAACCTTGCCCGCGCGTTCCTGGACATGTGGCGGCTCGAAGCAGACCCTGCCAAAACATATGTGTGGGCTCTGAATCCCTCACACCGAGCCAGCCTTGCCAGTCTCGGCCTCCAGGTGCTGCAGCACGCTCGTGAGCTTGGTGGCACACTTTCGTTCGGCCGCTCCTTACGGAACAATGCCCTGGTTCAACGTTGCAAGGACCTAACCCCTCTATTCCAACGCCTACGACGTTCTCCGTGCAGCCTCCGGGTTAAGCTGGCGGCCCTGCCCTCCAAGTTCTGGCGCAAAGCCTTGCACGGCATTTCTGGCTGCCCGCTCGGGGATGGTCACCTTGCCACACTCCGAGCACAGACCACCAAAGCCTTGCAGTGCCACCCGGCTGGCACTAGTTCCATGCTCAGGCTTTCCCTCAGCGACCCGGTTGACGCCGATCCAGGATATTTCCAGCTTTGGTCCACTCTGAGTGATCTCCGTCGCATCGCCTCAAAAGAGCCTCAGGTCCTCCCCATGTGGGCTGGGTTTATGCTTGGGTTTAGTGGTACTGTATACCAAGGGCCGTTCTCAAAGCTATTGCAGGTTCTCTCCCAGATCGGATGGCGGATCGACAGCCCTCCTTTTGTGACAGATGCCGAAGGTGTGCGTCACAACCTGCTTGAGATGCCACAGGCCCTGCTGCGTCGCAAGAGCGAACAGGCTTGGCTAAACTACGTAGCCGCACAGCACAGGCACAGGCGTACCATGCATGACTTGAACGGTATCGACCGCTCGCTGGTCTTTGCGGATACCGCCAACCTGAGCCCTCTAGACACGGCCCGGCTTTATGCCATACGCTGTGGCGCATTTCTTTTCGGGGCATGTCATGCCCGTTACGACTGCTCCCAGGATGGCCTTTGCCAGCGATGCCGCGTCCCAGATACACACAAGCACCGTGTTTGTGAGTGCCCTTTGTTTGAGGCGGCGCGAGCTCCACACCAAAGCGTATGCAACAGATGGGATCAGCTACCCACTTGTCTGAGTCACCATCTGCTACCTCCAGCTAACCCGCATCTTGCAGCCTTTCACGCTTGTCTCCTGGCACTGCCCGACCAGTCTGGCTCATTCGCCTCCCTTGCCAGATCTGACGAGACTCAGCACTTGTTTTGTGATGGCGCGTGCAATCTGGCGACCTTACCAGACCTCGCCCTCGCTGCGTGGGGCGCTGTGAACTCCACCACGGGAGACATTGTGGCCTGCGGACCCGTGCCCGGTCTCGCTCAAACAGCGCCGCGCGCCGAGTTGTGGGGAGCCATTGCCTGCCTGCGTTGGGGTCTAAGGGTTGGTTGTTCTTTGATGGTTTGGACTGACTCGTTTTGGGTAGGGGTTGGAATTCGTGCTGCCATTGAAGGCCATTTTCAGCTGCCACATGACAATTCGGACCTCTGGACGTTGCTGGTCGATTTGGTTGCTTGTTACCAGCCTGGGCAGCTTGGGGCTCAGCATGTACCATCGCACCTTGAACCATCCACTGCCACAAGCCCTTTCGAGGACTGGGCCATTCATTGGAACTCAAGGGTCGATCGCTTAGCTGGTACTGCCAATCTCAACCGCCCTGCTGAGCTGCATGATGCACGCTCTCGGGCTTTGGACTGGCACAACACCATGCTGACCGACATGCGGGCCCTCCGCAGCATCTATTTCGACATTGCCGAGGTTACTTTGAGACGAACCGGAACCGAGAGCGCAGACGAGGACCCACCTGAGCAGTTGATGGCACTCCCCGTTCCGGAAGATGGCATTGAGTATGACTTGGAAGAAGATCTGCCAGTTGCATGGTCTGTCATTGCCCCAGCGGCCTGCCCGGACATGCCGCAACGCTTCGTCCTTTCCGTGTGCGAAATCCTGTTCACCCATGGAGGTCAGCCCCGGAACTGGCATAAGATCTCCTGGATCGAATTGGTTTTTCTTCTCCACCTCACGGGTGCAGTTCAATTTCCAGTACGCTCATTGACGTCTGACGCTTGGCTTCCTGCTCACGAAGTGCCTTTGGGTGCTCCTGCCCTGACCGTCGCTGTACAGATCGGTCTCGTTCGCAGGCTTGTTCAGCGTGTTTTGAAGGCTTTCCAGTTGGATACGTTGCTTTTTGATGATGCTTCGGTTCTTGAGTTGGGGATTTGCTTTCGGATGGGTGGGGCTTGTCTCCCCGTTAATGGTTTGCTCTTGCAACGGGCACGCCTTCAGGTTTCACAGTTTTGTAGTGGTCGCAAAGTTTGTACAGTGGGCGACCTTGCGAGGACACTCCACTAAGACTCATATCGGACAGACGCTCTCGGCTCCGCCTGTGCTGAGCCAGTGCGCCCAAGTTGTGTGTGCTATAGGGTTTATAGGGTTTGTAGGGTTTGTGGGGTTTATCGGGTTTATAGGGTTTATAGGGTTTATAGGGTTTGTGGGGTTTATCGGGTTTATAGGGTTTATAGGGAATTTATCGGGTTTCTACGGTCATCGGCGTTGCCCCCTGTACCCTTTTTGCCTATTTTTCGATTTTTGGCCGAGATTTTTAAGCTGCTACAGTAGTTGGGTAAGAACCCCCGTAAACCCCAAACCCCAAACCCTAACCCCTAAGCCCCGTAAGCCTCTAAAATCCTAGACCCCACAAACCCGAGGCCTCAAGCCCCGATATTGTTGAGCTGCGAGCCCCCATTTCCGGGAGTAACCTCTGGTTTAGGGTTTAGGGTTTAGGGTACCCTGTGACAAGGGAGCGTAGGGTTAGACCAACCATTAAGAAGGTTTAGGGTTTAGGGTTTAGGGTTCAGAGACCAACCATTAAGGTACATGTGTCCTTTTTGAGGGAATACAGGTTGATCTAGGTACACCCGAACACGACAGGGTCGGAGGTTCAAGCCTTCCATCCTAAACCCTGAACCCTATACCCTAAACCCTCTTTGGGTTTGGGGTTTAGGGTTTCGGGTTTGGGGTTTAGGGTTTCGGGTTTAGGGTTATAGGGTTGAGGGTTTAGCATCCATGCGGCTTGCCGACAGGTGACCGGTGTCGAGGTCTCCGAGAAGGCAGACGCAATGACGTTGCGGCATGGGAGGGACTGCAGCACGGTCCTTTCTTCATAGCTGTTTATAAGGGTTTAGGGTTTTGGTTTATTAGGGTTGAGGGTTTAGGGTGGTGTTATAGGGTTCTTCAGGGAGGGGGTCAAGGGGGGTATGTAACCCAAGGTTCCCTAATCCTCCCCACTACTCCCTTAAGAACCCTATAATCTCTTTCCTCCAACCTTAGATAAGGGTTTAGTTTAGGGTTTAGGGTTGAGTGTCATTTCTGGATTCCGGATGGTTCTGCATGGTCACCTAGTGCTCATCGCAATATGTGGCTGTTTTACCACACCCAACGCGTGCAAGCATGACAGAGAGCTAGCCGCAAACCCACCAGCCACGTGAGAGTAGATTGGACGGAACATGAGCACGGTACAGGGTTTAGGGTTTAGGGCTTACCCAAAGGATCCATGTACCTATATAGTATATACTTGGCCCCTAGAGCTACTATATAGGAACCCCTTTAAGGCCCAAGTATATACTATATAGGTACATGGATCCTTTGGGTTAGGGTTCAGGGTTTAGAGTCATCATGCAGCCAAATGTACATGTGGCACAGGCACAAGTGAATCTATGGTTTGTATCCCTTCTCCCTCCCACTGCAACTGCCGCCACCCGAACGTTGAAGTGTGCCCTGCGGCCCAAAGCATGCTAGATTGCAGAGAATGGCTCCGGCAATCATTGCAGAGATTAGTTAGGTAGTGAATTCGAGATATGGTTCGGACGCCCACGGCATGTTAAGACCGAAGCAAGAGCACCCGATGTTTACCTCAAGTTGTCAGTTTTTTGTGGTCCCTGAGCTTTGTGTGACCTCAGTGACGAAACCATGACAGGTTCGCCTGAACTGCACCTGCCACTGGCAGATGCCGGCTACACGTTGCAAAGTGCCCGGCAACATTTCCACGTCGTCGTGGGTGCGGCGGACCACCAGGTTCCTGTCTCATCACCCCAAATTTCAGCCGAGGACTGCAAAACAAGCAGCTGTTTCACTGCAGTTCTGACATTGTCATGACAGTGGTGCCAGTAGCTGCCACGATATGCAGCGAGAAGGCTAATTAAAGAACAAGACAGGACGGGTTTGTAAGGAGTTCGGGTCCCAGAATCTACGTAGCAAGAAGACTGTTCTGGACAATAGGGGGACCCATGCAAACTCAATAAGTTCCACATCTGAGTTCGTTTGCAAAAAAGCTGCAAGTAGTTGTTCAGCCGAAGTCTTCTAGAACATGACTTTCTCCTCCTAACCTCCCCCTAAACCCTAAACCCTAAACCCTAAACCTTAAACTTAAACCATGATATCCACAGCTCCGGACCAATTCGATCCCACAATGTAGTTCCTTTTGGTGTCATGGTTTTTCTGTAACAGATTATGGTCGTAATTTTACCACCCAAAACAGAACTACATTAGAGTCCCTGAGGGAAGCCCTAAACCCAAACCCAAAACCCTAAACCCTAAACCCTAAACCCTACATGTCACTTGAGGCTTGGCCAACTGGCCTGAAGGAGACGTCGCAGCTGATGATCCGAGAACTGGACTGGCCAGGGACTGTTGAGCTCCGAGAGGGCCGGAGGTTTAGGGTTATAGGGTTTAGGGTTAGGGTTTAGGGTTTAGGGTTTAGGGTTTAGGAGGGTTTAGGGTTTTAGGGTTTTAGGGTTTTAGGGTTTTAGGGTTTTAGGGTTTAGGGTTTAGGACGGCCAAAGTACCCCATTTTTGCTAGGAGTGGTAGATCCCTGCAACACCAGAATCCTATGGGTTTGGGGTGTCTCCAAAAGCCGAAGTGCTAAGGGTTTTTTGGGGCTCAAATGCCCATAAGCACATACTGGCATTCGGACAGTTGGGGGTTTAGGTTTGGTTTGCGGCTTAGAACGCAAGGTTTCTTCGATTTCTGGGGTTGTTGTTTGTGCAGATACCGGAAACCCTAAACCCTAAACCCTCAACCCTAAACCCTAAACCTGTTCCCTAAACCCTGAACCCTAAACCCAAAACTGTAAACCCTAAACCCTAGAACGCGGCCTCCGAAGCCGTATAAACCCTAGACCTTAAGCCCTAAACCCCAAACCCTAGACCCTAAACTTCAGGAGGCACTCTGCGCTGAGTTGCTGCGCCTGCTACCTGGAGGTGACCGCATGGAGGCGGGAGACTGAGAGCTGTGTTTGTACGTAGGGTTTAGGGTTTAGGGTTTAGGGTTTAGGATTTAGGGTTTAGGGTTTATAGGGTTTAGGGTTTATCGGGTTTAGGGTTCAGGGTTTAGCAATTTAGGGTTTAGGGTTTAGGGCTACCGAGTGAGAGCCTACGTTGCACGTTCAAGTGGAGGGTGCCTTCATTGTTGGAGTACTACAGGAAGGGTAAAGAGGTAGGTGAACCCTACACCCCCCTCCACCCACCCACCCCAGAACCCCTGAACCCCAAACGGCACATCTTCAGGCCTCGCGTTTACTTGGGGTACAGTTTAACGCCCCTAAATCCTAAACCCTTAACCCGAAGCCCCAAACCTGAATCCTAAGCCCTAAACCCTAAACCCTGAAACCACGGTACTGTTTGGAACCGTATGGGTTCAGGGCGTAGGTTTTGGGGTGGCTATCCTGCACCCAGCCCAGATATCGCTTAGTTCGAGATAGAGTTTAGGCTTCAGGGGTGTGGGGGGGGTTAAGTGTTTAGGGTTAGGGTGTAGCCCTAAACCCTAAACCCTAAACCCTAACGGTTGAGGGTGCGTGGGTCCTTACTTGAAGGCTATTGGAGTCCCCCCAGTCTTCTGCCACTGCTATTCGGCCATCCAGTGGGAATGTTGCGCGGTTACCAAGCCCTAAGCCGTCAACCCTAAACCCTAAACCCTAAACCCTAAACCCTAAACCCTAAACCCTAAACGCTAAGGGTTAAACCCTAAATCCCAGTACCTCTGAAGGCCGAAACCCTCAATCCTCAGCTGCGTGAACTTTGGCATCTGCACCCCCTCGGCCCTAGACACCGACACCCGAAAACCCGAAACCCTCAAGCCTCAACCCGGGTTTAGGGTTTAGGGTTTAGGGTTTAGGGTGTAGGGTTTACGGTTTAGGGTTTAGGGTCTAGGGTGTAGGGGTTAAACCCTCAACCCTCAACACCTTCCGCCCCTCCGAACTCAGGCAGCCTGGCGCCGAGCCTCCAAGGCCGATGCGCCAGCGGCCCCCAAACCCTGAGGGCCCCATCCACCACCCCCCTCCTGAGCCCAAAGTTTAGGGTTTAGGGTTTAGGGTTTAGGGTTTAGGCTTAGGGTTTAGGGTTTAGGGAGGGTTTAGGGTTTAATTGGGGTTCAGGGTTCAGGGTTTAATTGGGGTTTTTGGGCTTAGTACTTCTAGTAGCTAGGGGCTCCCTGGCACGAAGCTATAGGCTTGTGATGTCTGGGGTGTTTTTTCGATGTTGGCAGAGCAGACTTCCCTGTGTTCTCCCAACCCTAAACCCTAAACCCTAAACCCTAAACCCTAAACCCTAAACCCTAAACCCTAAAGGATAACTTGATGGCCTTGAAGCTCTTCTTGGACAATGGACAAGCAGGCCAAGGCCTCAAACCTGACCACCTGTGAAGAATCCCGGAACCTCAGACCTGAAACCTAAACCTTAGGGTTTAGGGTTTAGGGTTTTGGGTTTTGGGTTTTTAGGGTTCAGGCTTTAGGGTTTTCATTTTTGGGGTGCGATAATTCCTAAGACACCTGAAGTTCTATCTTCTGCTAGGGTTCCAAGTGCAGTATAGAACCCGTGAGCTCCAAAACCTCGTAAGGCGACTGGCGATGCCTCTGTTTGGGATGCCTTCAGCTACTTCCCGCCACTTGGCCTTGAGCCGAAAGTGGCCCGACACCTAGCTCTAGGGGCTATGGGTTTAGGGTTTGTTCTGAGGGTAGTTGCATAGTCCCTTAACATGGTCCCTTAGCTTCTAGAAAAACGTGTGAAGTATGGGTTTTTGGGTTGTCAGTGTAGCTAAGAGGCACATCAGGGGACCATGTGACTACCCCAAGGGGTTAATGGGTTTAGGTGGGAGTTCAGTGTCTGGAGTGTTCATGGTAGGGCATACGGGGGGTTGAAGGCTCATTGGGCTTCAAGGCTTTCCGAGTCCCAAACACGAAGACAGCCAGCTCCACCACCCCGAGTGAGCACTAAACCCTAAACCCCTGCAGTGGAAGACAAAACGGGGCATGCTTGGTAACCCTACGCCCTAACCCCTACATCCAAAAACCCCCGAACCCTCAACCTTAAACCCTAAACCCAAACCCTAAATCCAGAAAGCCCTAAACGCCTGCAATCGAGGACTGAAAGTGTCGTCGAACCAGGCAGGGAGATAGCTGCAGTGCTTGGGGGGGAGGGGGGTGGGGGCGGCGACAGAGGACCTGCCAGATCTCCACATTAAGACTTAACGGAACCTCTATGGGGGATTTGCGAAAATAGGGGATCCCTAACTTAGACCCCCCGCCCCCCCAATGGTAGGATTCCCTTACAATAAGGACCCCAACGAGGTACCCACAAATTCACCTTTAGAGAGGGAAATGTACCACATTGTTGGCGTATTTCCTTTGCTTGGGGTTCATGGGTCCCTGTAGGCCTCTAGCCCGGCGAAGGTGACAGGACTCCTACAAAGACTCGCCGTTCACTTGAGCCTCATGAGTCGGGATGTTCCCCCACTTCTACCCACAGTCCTTACTAGGAATTCTAGTACCCCCAATTATAATCCCTATAAAGGACTGTTAGTTAGTATTCTTGAGGGGGAACATCCCAACTCATCTGCCAATACCCTGAAAACGTCCCCGCTGCAGAGCAGTTTCAGCCTAAAGCTTGTTCTTGTTTTTTTTTGGGGGGGGGAGAGAAAAAGGTACAAAACTCCCAACCTTCAACCCTACCTACATTATAATACCTACCCCATCTTTCGGCCAAAGGCGCGGTGGACGTAGCTATGGCAGCTCATACGGCGCCTCGAAACCGCATGGCTAAGACTCCTTTCGGCCTTTGTAAGGGTTTGGGGCTTTCAGGGCTGTAGTCAGGGTTTAGGGAGGTTTAGGGCTTTCATTTGTCGCGTAAGCTCCCAAGGGCATAATGTCGCCCTAGCCAAGGTTTAGGGTTTAGGGTGCTTGGCTAAATCGGGTTGCAGAAGGTCATAAGGAGTTTGTGGGGCTTGCCCTGATCCTCCAAACAGGTAGACGGGTGCAGCTCCTTCCTAACAGGGGATTTGTTCGAGCCGATCAATTCTATGATCCACTGTCGTAGAACCAGAGTAACCGACATGCCCTTCATTAGAAACATGTTCAAATCGTTGAGGTACATTTCAGTTTCCAAAGAAACATCGTAGGCTACTCTATAGGTACAATCCCCTGTGGAAGGGTACATGGGATGCTCTGGTTATCATAGAAAGGTTTTGTTGACTTCGTAAGTCTGCTTAGTATGGCCGAGAAAACTTACAAGAATCCCCACAACGCAACTTGCGAACCCTGAACCCTAAAACTGGCCACTTACAAAGTCGAAAGTGCTTCCAAATAAGGACTCTTATTCTACCTAGTAGTAGAGTAGGTAACCTTTAAGCTTGCGCACACGTTGCGCTTTAGCCCTTTTAGGGGTAGTATACTCCCCTTGTAATCCCAAAGGTTAACCTTTAAATCCCTCAGGTTACTTGACAACGAAGTCTAGGGGCTTTTGAGCCCAAGCTGCCCAGAGTCTACAAGCTTGGAGCATGCTGAGCCTGAGCAAGGGACATGGTCTGCCCTAACCCTAAACCCGAAACCCTAGACCCTAAACCCTAAACCCTAAGCCCTAAGCCCTAAACACTAAACCCTAAACCCTAAACCCTAAACCCCAAACCCCAAACCCTAAACCCCAAACCCCAAACCCTAAACCCCAAACCCCAAACCCTAAACCCTAAACCCTAAACCCTAAACCCTAAACCCTAAACCCTAAACCCTAAACCCTAAACCCTAAACCCTAAACCCTAAACCCTAAACCCTAAACCCTAAACCCTTCACGGCCCCTCAAGGATCCCGGACTTTTCACTGCCAAGCCTCTGAGCTTCGTGGAAGGACTGGAGGTCCCTGGAGTGCAAGCAGGGTTTAGGGTTTAGGGTTTAGGGTTTCGGGTTTGGGGTTTGGGGTTTAGGGTTTAGGGTTTAGGGTTTAGGGTTTGGGTTTGGGGTTTGGGGTTTGGGGTTTGGGGTTTAGGGTTTAGGGCCGGTTTAGGGTTTAGGGTTTAGGGTTTATAGGGTTTAGGGTTTAGGGTTTATGGGGCTTGGGGGCCTTAGGGTTTTGGGGGTTTAGACGGTTTAGGGTTTAAGGTTGTTAGGGGGTTTAGGGTTTAGGGTGGTTGAGGGCTTAGGGTTTGGGGGCAGGGGGTGTAGGGTTGAGGGGTTTGGGGCGTAGGCTTTAAGGTTGTAACCCTGAATTACAAGCCAGTTACAACCCTTATAGCTCGTAAATCTCTGAACAGCCTTGTGACCCTTGGAGCTTGCAAGCCCTAAAAACTAAACCCTGAAACCCGCAACACTAAAGCTCTCAACCTATGTACCATTGAAGACGTGGCCCTAGACGCCTCAAAGCCCTGAGCCCCAGTTGAATCCCAAAAGAAACCCTTGCATAGTGTAGCTGGTCTCTTCAGGGTGGCCACGGCAGAAGTCCCCACAGACTCCCAAACCCCCGTAATTAAGGAATATCCCTTAGACTATCATAAGAACCTTAATATGAGTTGAGGCATATTTCTTAATTAAGGGGTTTGGGAGTCTCTGGGTCTGAGTTTAGGGTTCAAGGGGCTTAGGGTTCAGGGATGACCCTGCTGATGTAGGCTAGGGGATCGTTGTGCACAAGGCGGCCACGCAATATCCCTGCAGAATATCGAGTCTAAACCTTAAGCTTGTGAATGCTATACAGTCAAGCCCTAAACCCTAAACCCTAAACCCTAAACCCTAAACCCTAAACCCTAAACCCTAAACCCTAAACCCTAAACCCTAAACCCTAAACCCTAAACCCTAAACCCTAAACCCACAGGGGTTTAGGGTGTAGGGTGAAGGGTGAAGCTGCATTCCTTTTTGGGGGGCTTGTTCTAAGTTGCGGCCATTACTGGGTACCAAACCCTTTCAGGAGCTGCTCCCGCGTCTTTCGTGGATAAAGGGAGGGAACTAACCCTAAGCCCACAGCCCTAAACCCTAAACCCTAAATCCTAAACCCTAAAGGTCTGGGACTTTGCCTCGGACAAGTGGATCTCAGTCGAAGGAGAGGCGAGGTGGCGCTTGTTCAGCACCGGTGCTTGCCGGCTCGTAAACCCCACCTGTGACCAGGTTAGTAGACACTACCCTTAGGGTTCAGGGTTTAGGGTTTAGGGTTTAGGGTTTGGGGTTTAGGGTTTAGGGTTTAGGGTAGGTATAACCCATAGCACTGTATGTAAAGAGGCTCCCAGACCATCGGGCATATAACTCGGGGTAGAGGATGCACGGTCCATTCAGTGCGAAAGGGCTTTCCCAAGCCGGTGGTGCTCCTGGCTTTTTACCTGCTCTCCCACCCTATACAAAAGGGGACATGAGCCTTCATGATTGGTGCGGTTTAGGGTTTAGGGTTTAGGGTTTAGGGTTTAGGGTTTAGGGTTTAGGGTTTAGGGGCTACTCTGGGCAGAATTCGCTCTTAGACTGTATGACCCCTTGGCCCATGTCAGGGTCGCGGCGCCGGCGAGATCGTCGTGTTCAGTGCCGACACGTGCCTTGCTGCCATTAGGGACCCTTAAGAACCACCAAAATCCCAGCAAGAATCGTAAACACAGCCCCAAAGAACCCTAAAAATCTCTTAAAACCCTAGAAGAGCCCAAAGAATGCTTAAAGCGCTGAAAACCCTTAGCCCTGTGACCCGTTGAGCACATCTCTAATAAGCTTCGGCCTAAAGTAACCTGAAGAGCAAACTAAGTGGACTGCAGGTGTAGGCTTTTACGGTCCTGCTGTAGGCCCTTGTGATACTCTTTTATTTTCCAGTCTTAGCAATGTGTTCGCGGAGCTTGAACAGGCCTACGCTAGTCTCCGAATATATAGTATATAGTAGTAAGTATATAATAATAAGTAGTAAGGTACATGAACCCTGAGGGATAGGCTGTTTTCTTCCTCAGCTACGAAAAGAGCGGCAGGATCTGGACGCATCGCTTCCTTGATCCGGGTTCTGACTCTTCTGAGAGCATCAAGTGTAGGCGTACCGGAGGCCCTAAACCCTAAAACCTAAACCCCAAACCCTGAACCCTAAACCCTAAACCCTACATAAGCCAAGCGAGGCTGGAGCGTTGGACAAAGGGAGCCATTCCCAGCTGTCGGCACCGAGTCGCAAAACCCAGGCTTTCCGACCGAAGTGTTTAGGGCTTTCAAGGGTTGGTTTAGGGTTTAGGGTTTAGGGTTTAGGGTTTAGGGTTTAGGGTTTAGGGTTTAGGGTCTAGTGTTTACGGTTTAGGGCTCAAGGTGGCTAGCACCCAGAGTAGGGCCTTACTCCCATTTTAGGTTCCTTTATAAACCCGTTTAAACTGAAAAAGATCCCTTGCCAAGCCCTAAGCCCTGAACCACAAAGCGAACGGCCTAAACCCTCCAGTCCCTGAGTCCCTAAATCCCCAAGCCCGAATACCAACCCCTAAACCCCTAAATCCAGAAAGCCGATATTGAAGGCCTCTACTTGGAGATTCATGGGCCCCTAACCCACTCATAAGCCTCTTATAAGTGCCCGCACAGGCATATAGTATGGCGAACAAACTCTAAACCCTAAACCTTAAACTTCTAAACTCTAAACCCTAAACTCTAAATCCAAGTACAGTTAGAATTGGGCAAATAGGTGCCATGAACCCCGAATAGACCCGGAGTCCCTAGTCGAGTTTTCTGAATGAGGGCCTAGGGCTCTGGGCGCAGGGTCCAGGGTGTAGGGTTTAGGGCTTAGGGTTCGGGCTTAGGGGGGGGTCTCTCAACTCACAGGGGAATGGTCCACTAGCAACTGGCAGAACGCATTTTCTCTAGGAGTTTTCTAGGCAACAAGAATTGACCCTACGACTCTGAAACCGAGTTCCACTAGCACATCAGGTTTCGGGTTTAGTGTTTTAACCCCTAAACCTTCGAACCCTCAACGCTAAGCCCTAAACCCTAAACCACTTGAGCCAGGGGCAGCGAGCCCCGCCTTTCATTGGTGCGGCTTGTCTGGGTTGGTCGCCCTTGATGAGTTGAGGGGTTTTAGGGTTTAGGGTTTAGGGTTTGGGCCTAGGGTTTCGGGGTGCTTTGAGACGGGGCGGTGGCAATTTCGTAGGGTTAGGCTCAAAATAGACAAAAACCTTAATAAGAAGGCCGTTGGGCCCCCAAACCCCTAAAAAGAAAGTCCTTGGAGCCTCATAAAGGGAATTGGGCTGCGAGTTCAGGCCGGGGTTTGGAGACCTTCAGGATTTAGGGCAGGCCTCGTCTCAGCAGCTCGTGACCGAGGTGTCAAGAGGCGGGAAGAAACCACTGGCCTGACTTAGGGTTTCGGATTAAGGGTTAAGGGTTTAGGGTTTAGCGTTTAGGGTTTGGTACTTAGTAACCCAGTTATAACTGCAGTCATAGCCCAATTCTAACCCCATCAGGGTACTTAAGGGCTTATAAGTGGGTTATATCTGCAACTAAGTACCCTGAACCTCCAAAGGACGGCCCGCCTTTGCACCTGGGGCATACAGGAGCTGATGATGACACCCTTACATAGTATGTACTTGCGCCCTGTAAGGCTACTAGATGGGAACCCCTTTAAGGTCCAAGCATATGCTATTACATGGACCCTTAGGGTACATCTGCAAGGACATCTGCAAAAGCAAGCCTGCCAGTTGTCCATGCACGTGGGTCACGCACCCGATTCCAGGGCACGAACTTACACAGCGTTTCTGCTTGGGTCTGCCTCTCCAAAACCTTTGGAGTCTTACTTTGCCGGTGCTGGGCGTTTAGGGTTGCATGGTTTAGGGTTCTAGGTCTTACCCCAAGGGTCCATGTACCTCATTATTCTGCACTTGGGTCCCGCAGTCCTTATGTAGGAGGTACTTAAGGGCCAAGTATACCCTATTTAGGTACGTGGGTTCTTAGGGTCTTTGGTTTGCAACTGCAGGTATGAGATGCGCATCCTGCGTGAGGGAGTCGATTTAGAGCAGATGCCGTGAGCAAAAAGGCTGCAGTCCGCCACTGCAGGGTTCGTTCTTTTTGAGGATGACGCGCCCACAGTTCAGCCTCCCTAAACCCTAAACCCTAAACCCTAAACCCTAAACCCTAAACCCCAGAGGCATTCCGGCTTCAGGGTTTTGGGGTTCTCTTTTGAGCCTTTACCCTGAGTATCGGTCGTGTTTGGTCTTCCTGCCTGAGAAGCATCAGTGTGCTGGCAGGGTGTTTGTTTTGAGCAATCCCTGCTATGTAGGGTTTAGGGCTCAGGGTTTAGGGTTTAGGGTTCAGGGTTTAGGGTTTAGGGTTTAGGGTACAAACGTGCCAAGCTTCAGATGTCCGATGGCTTTCGCCAGAATGAACACTTCAGTTTTTTTCGCTGGAAGGGACTACAGCAGGAGGGACCCTCAAAAGCAAGGTTGCGGTTCAGGATTTAGGGTTTGGGGACCTGTCCCCAAGCCCTAAACTCTAAGTTCCTTTTTGGTTCGGGGTTTAGGGTTTAGGGTAGTGGTCAGTATGATGAGGAAAACCCAACTACGAGCAAGGGCACAACCAGTTCTAGATACTGTGGCCCTACTTTTGTTGCCACAGCCAGAACTACCAGTGAACCTCCTGCCAAAACCCGAAGCTCGAATTAAACCCTAAAGACAAACCCTAAACCCTAAACCCTAAACCCTAAACCCTAAACCCTAAACCCTAAACCCTAAACCCTAAACCCTAAACCCTAAACCCTAAACCCGAAACCCGAAACCCGAAACCCTAAACCCTAAACCCTAAAGCCTAAAGCCTAAAGCCTAAAGCCTAAAGCCTAAAGCCTAAAGCCTAAAGCCTAAAGCCTAAAGCCTAAAGCCTAAAGCCTAAAGCCTAAAGCCTAAAGCCTAAAGCCCAAACCCAATAGAGTGTGGCCAGGTCGGCTTCCTTCCTCTGTATCCACTGGGCGCCAGCGATGCGGTGGCGAGACTTCACGGTCTCTGGGGGTTTGCCCCCAAGACCCCTGGGAGGATCCAAAAAGTAGAACCCTCAAAAAGCTATACTATACTACTATTGGGTCATTTTGAGGAACGCTTGAAAGGGCATCTACTTTTTGAATCCTCCCAGGGGTCTCTGCCTAGAGAAGCCGCTACTTACCCTGAACAAATCTTAAGAGCTAGGGGAAACTATACCGGAAATCAAGGGTCGTGCTTCCTTTCAAAGGGTTGCAGGGAAAGGAACAACCAGCTATAGCTGGAGCCAGGCACCAGGCTCAATCTCAATACATTATGGGCCCGTTTGGTGCCCTGTGCATACTAGAAATAACAACAATCCCTATACTTATAGGAAGGATGTTTTTTTTTGTTTTTTGGGAGGGGGGGGGGGGGGGGGTGTTCTTAAAGCAATTCGTACAGAAGGCTGGATATGAAGACAGGATGCTAGAAGGGGCCGTCATTCAGAGATCCTCCCATTGTGAGCCCCACAGTCCGAGATAAACCCTAAACTCTGAACCCTGTAGGGTTTAGGGTTTCAGGGTTGGGGTTTAGGGTTTAGGGTCTAGGGTTAGGGTTTTAGGCCAAGGAGATCACAGATTCCGAGGGCCCAATTCCCCCTACTGACAGCATCCTGAATCCTGAAATGGAGGATTTAGGCTTGAGGTTTAGGGTTTAGGGTTTTAGCCCTAAACCCTGAGTTTAGGCTCAGAAAATGCCCGGCTCGAATGTGACATGTTGGAGCCAAGGCGCTTCCCGAATAACTTTATGTTTAGGGTTTAGGGTTTAGGGTTCCGGACGATTGTGGTCCGCCCTCCGTTGGCCTGTTTGGCTCAGTTTCAGGGGCGTACTGCCCAGAGGTTCTCCCTCCCTGCAGTGTGTTTGTGTAACCCTGAGGCGCAACATACCTGCAAAAGACTTGCATGGTATAGTGTTGGGGACCAAACAAGAACTCTTGCAAGCCTGAGAAAGCCCAAACCCCTTGTATGGAAGGTGCAGAACCCTAAGCCCAGGAGCTACGGTGGGCTTTGATTCCATTTCTTGTACTGGCTAGGTTCCCTGAAGCACCTTGAACCTTCATACCCAGGCCAGTCAGAGACCATGATACCCCAGGCCTTGTAGACCCAAGAAACCTGAAAATCACCCCTAGACCCTGAACCCTAAACTCTAAAGTTTAGAGTCTAAACTGTGAAGCGGCAACAGCGAAAACAATATAATTCGCCCCCGCGGACGCCCGCAAGATGGGGCAAAGCCTGCGACGCCTCACGGGTGGCTCCTGTGGCCTGGCAGCTGAAATGTGTGTTGTAGGTTTGGGGTTTAGGGTTTAGGGTTTAGGGTTTGCTAGGTTCGCTAGGTTTGCCAGGCTTGCTGGGTTTGAGGTGGGACTTGGGTTTTTAGGCCGGGCCTTTAGCGTTCAAATGCTTTCGCTTCTGGGGGCTTCAAAGACTTAGGGTGACGAGTGCCCGAACAACCTCTACAAGAGAGTCGAATGTGGATTCTCATGCCCCCAACACCCAGCAGCGAAAGAGTCCTGGGCGTCATGGCAATCTTCTGCACTTTGCCCGTGGAAGACATCGATTGAGGGCTGTCCGGAGTATTGGAGTTAAAGCCTAAATCCTAAACCCTAAGCCCTTCACCTAAACCCTACGCCCTAAACCCTAAACCCCAAACCCCAAAACCTAAACCCTAACCCTAAACCCTAAACCCTAAACCCTAAACCCTAAACCCTAAACCCTAAACCCTAAACCCTAAACCCTAAACCCTAAACCCTAAACCCTAAACCCTAAACCCTAAACCCTAAACCCTACTCACTAGCAGCCAAGGTGGCGCACGCCGCACCGCGGCGGCGGCGGCCAAGGAAAGCGTTAAGAGTCCTGAGCGAAAACCCTAAGGGTAGGGTTTAGGGTTTAGGGTTTAGGGTTTTGGGTTTAGGGTTTAGGGTTTAGGGTTTAGGGTTTAGGGTTTAGGGTTTAGGGCACCTATATAGCATATACTTGGGCCTTGAAGGGGTTCCCCTAGCTTCAGGGCCCAAGTAGATACTCTGCACGTACATGGACCCTTAGGGAAACGATGGAAAGTAACATGCACACACTGTAGTCATAAAATCAACGAAGAATACGGCGGCAGTTTCGAAGGGATGGCAACATGGCGCCAGACTGCAACCGCCTTTGTTGCTGTTGCAAACCCCGAGGCTCAACATAGCACAAAACCCCTAAGGGTCCATGTACCAAAATAGGGAATACTTGGGCCTTAGAGTACTTCCTATTTAGGGACTTTGGGGCCCAAGTATATAATAATAAGGTACATGGACCCTTAGCGTATAAGAAGGCTTTTTGGGCCAAAAGCCTCAAAAGCCCTTAGAGCCGTATGGTGTGTCTGCGTGTGTGTGCGCTTGGGCCTTAAGCTTGTTTGTGTCTTAGGTTGGCCACCCGCAGCCCCCATCTCTAAGCTTGAAGTACGTAGGGGTACGTATTCTGCCTCGAAATTCCGGGCAGAACACAAAGACATATCCCTAAGGGCCCATGTACCTAAATGGGGAGTACTTGGGCCTTAAATACTTCCTACATAGGGACTTTGCGGCCCTATAGTAATGAGGTCCATGGACCCTAAGCGCATATCAGCACTTTTTTCAACTTTTCAGGGTCGTGGTGTGATGACCACATCTGCATGTCAGCTTTTTTGAGAGCCACTCTTAGTAGGTGCTTTGACGGAAGATGTAGCATTACAGTGTCTAGGGTTTAGGAGTTTAGGGTTTAGGATTACATTCGGGGAACTGCCAGGCAGCTGCAGATGCTGCGAGGCAGCAAGGCAAGACAAGCTACAAGGCGTGTGGGTTGGTGTACACTAAACTCCTCTAAACCCTGAACCCTAAACCCTAAACCCTAAACCCTATAGACCCCCTAAACCCTAAACCCAGAACTAACAGGGGCATCCGTTTTACCAGCTGGAAGGACGTAGGGGGGTTATGGCGCATGGTGGGAAGCCCAGCCGAGCGAGAGGGTGAGGTTTGGGGTTTAGGATTAGGGTTTAGGGTTTAGGGTCAGGGTTCAGGGTTCAGGGTTAGGGTGTAGGGTTATGTAAGGGTTTAGTGTGGGTTGCCCCAAACCTAGAATTGTCGCTTAGACATGTGACATGTTTCTGTAGACTTGAAGCCCCAAGCAGCTTAGACTCCACACCCTCAAGCCTTAATGGGTAGCATTTCTATTAATCTACGGGCGCTCTTCTGTTGTAATTTATTCCTGAAGACAAAGTGCCCATAGTTTAGCCCAGAATCCCAAATCCCTGTACCCTGGCCTCTAAACCCTACAACCCTAAACACCAAGCCCTATTTCCCGGGCCCTACAACCTTAAGCCCCTAAACCCTAAACTCCAAACCCTTAAACCCTGAACCCTAAACCCTAAACCCTTAAACCCTAAACCCTAAACCCTAAACCGGAACCCCCCCCCCCCCCCCCAAACCCTACGTGGGCACCCGATGAACCAGGTGGCGAAGATTGCAGGTGAAGCGGCCCACACGATCATGATTGCAGCCGGCTGCTCAAGTCAGGAGGTGCCTACGTAGGGTTTAGGGTTTAGGGTTAGGGTTTAGGTTTTAGGGTTTAGGGTTTAGGGTTTAGGGTTTAGGGTTTGGGGTTTAGGGTTTAGGGTTTAGGGTGCATCGGGGTTGAAGGTTTTCAGGATGCTGGGGGAGGGAGTTTCGGGGCTCTATGTTTGTAGGATGTAGTGTAGTAGATGCCCCGAAAGCTGTGAGGATATCTTTGGAAATGTAGTGCTTGTTTGTTCACCATAGTCTTGTCGAAGTTACGTGAATCATCCGAGAAGGGCGTCTTTGTGTTGTTGTGCCTTGCTTGCTGCTTGAAGTCATCAATGCCTTCCGATGTTGGCAGGTGATACCCTAACGGACTCAGGGCTACTTGGAGGTTCAAGGTACCTCGTCACCCCATTATAACTGTACTTAGAACCCAATTATAACCCTATTAGGGTACTTAAGGGGCTAATAAGTGTGTTATAACTACACTTAGAATTGGGAACCCTAAACCTGT